ACCTTCTTTCAGGACCGAGCAGCCGGGGGCCTCACTCACTCGCCTTTCACCCACGAGTTTTTTTAAAAAGGCCTCACACGGGGCACCACTCTGTTGGGTCCGCAGCTGGCGGCTGACCCATACAGCACTAGCCTCGTTCCTTCTGGTGAGCGAACGGGCCCGGATTCCTCTTTCCCTCCAGTCCCCTTTGGAAGGAGACGGAGGAAGAGAGCCGTGAAGAGAGGTGAGCACACCGCCGGCCCCAAACCAGCCCAGTTAAAGGACACTCAGACGTGGAGGGGGTTCTGTGAAGGCAGTTCCGTTTATTATCACACAAGCACTTGTTTTTATAGGCAGATAGGGAGGGGAGGTTTTAACATTCAGCTTAAAGGTCAAGGGCGTGCATTCTGTCTCAATGCCTAGCTTTACATCTCAATGCCTTTCACGATTGCAGATTTGGCCAATAAGGGCTTAGGCAAGATTCCTGCAGACACCCCCACCCTACTTCCTCCTGGCGCCGTCTTAGGCTGCCACATTAATACGCCCTTGTGGGCCCATAATGGCGCCGCTTGTAATGTCACTTAAGGTGGCATTGGTTTTTAAGGCCCGACAAGCTAATACATGTTTGTTGTTTTAAGTCTCTAAGTTTTGGTGTAATTTGTTACACAGCAAAAGATGACTAATGCAGAGCCAAAGCACTGGGTGATTCTCCATAGACAAGGAAAGGCAGAAAGTCCCAAAGCAGAGGGGTGATTATATTCCCACTCTAGGTACTTTGGGAGAAGCAAGAAAAGTATTTGAAAGGCTGACCTTGGGGCCCATTAACCTCTGGGAAAATGTGCTTTCCAAGAGATGGGTCATGAGTTCAATCCAAGCAGAACATAAAAAGAGCTCCAGGAGGGGCTCCACGACATCCCCCTCCTGCCCCCACACTTGGAACACAGTATACTTAACAGGCGGAAACTGGGTACAATAAATGTTCTTCTCCTGGGGGCACATCATTTAAGAGCATGGTTAGCTCAATTAATGACTCGATATCATATTGCACCTTTTCTTCCCAGAAGAGTTAAAAGTTGTCTAAAATCATTCCAATAAATTGCCTCACTCACCATCATTTCTGATACTTCTACTTTTGAGGACATTTACGAGTCGGCCCCCTCATCATCCTGTTCTTTTGGCTTTTACCCTCTGATCAGCAAGCTCACACATTTTGAGATAGCCAGTCATTCTGGGTATACACCTGAGTCTACAGGAGCTCAAGTCCAGAGCCTGGGAAGGGCTTCTGAGCAACTCGCCATCATCTGTTTGGAAATGAGATACTCCAATGCCCTTTACAGTGTTTTGCCATCCCAGCTCTGCTGTGTGCAGGGAGAAAAGAGCTCTATCTCCCCATCCTTCATAAGCTCAAATCCCATCTCTACCCAGTGAACATGCAGTCGATGCTTACTGACCTCCTGGCTCAAGGAGAACTGGAGTTACTGCATCGGTCCCTTCACAGGCACCTCCCATGGACTTTACCATGTGGCATCTGCTATTTTATTTTATTATTGGCATTATTATTTTATTAAAGGCATCCCCTCAAACATGTGTCCTCACATCCTTTTTTTCCCCTCTCAATGTTCTATATTTGTCTAATCTATTCCACTCACACTACTAAAATACACAAGAAATTCACAGCAAAATGTTAACTCTGGGCAACAGATCATGAGATGAAAGAAAACTGTCCTTTAAAGGAATTATTCATCAGGTATTCTGTTATTATAAAGGTACTCCTCCAGTGATGACTGCCATTTTTAAACCAGCATTTAGGTGTTGATACCTAAGTCCAGGTAAATGAAATACAACAAAGAAATTACTCACAATACTGTTGGGGACCTATAGCCCCACACCCCTTCTTGTGTGACCAGGCCTACATGACAATCTGCT